ATAAATAAATAAATAAATAAATAAACAACAAAAAATAAATAAATATTTAATTCCTCATGCAGCTTTGATTCAACAGCACCATAATCAGCTGAGTCACTGTTAAACACCGAGTTATATTTACTGAAACACAGATTTACAGTTCAGTCATGCTGCTGAGCATAGATCACTGTAACATCATCAACATCAACAACAAAAAGTTCTCTGAAGAGGATCTGCTCTCCTCCCCTGCTGTGACGTGGAAATACTGACTTCATTCAAACATCTAAAGCTCTGGAAGCAAAACTAATGAAGAATCCTGTGGTTCTGCAGAACTTTTCAACACAAACAAAAGTTCTGATCAAACGAGGCACAAAGACGAGCAGCGGTCCCACTTCAGGTTCTGCAGGAAACAACTTTCTGGTACAATCAGAACCAGTATACTGTGGGTCCTGTATAATTCCTGTTTTTACATGTGAAGTCAGTATACTGTGGGTCCTGTATAATTCCTGCTTTTACATGTAAAGTCAGTTTACTGTGGGTCCTGTATAATTCCTGATTTTACATGTGAAGTCAGTTTACTGTGGGTCCTGTATAATTCCTGATTTTACATGTGAAGTCAGTTTACTGTGGGTCCTGATTTTACATGTGATTTCCTATCTTTGTACAGTACAAACATGCTGATAGTTTCTGTTAAATATTAGCAGCTAAAATACTTAAAGCTCCTGGTCCAGTCCTGATCCAGTTCTCAGGTCTTCATAGTACCTCCAATAATCGAGATGAAGCCAGAAAAAAAAGCTGAGAACTGGATCAGAACCTTTACAGATCAAAGTGTAAGAATAAAGTCGTGTTTCACTTCTGACTCAGGTTCTGCAGGAAACATTAAATCTCTTTAAAAGATTCTTCTGGATCGTCTGTTTGAGGACTAAGTTTCTGCAAGAAATGAACTCTTAACTTTGGCTGATTTCATTTTTGGCAAAATAAACATTAAAAAAGTAAACAATCAGTCAGAACTGAGATGTTTAAAGACTCCAAAGCCCGGGTCTCAATCAGGGATTGAGTCAGAGACCAGGCTGAAGTCTGGAGTCACAGTTGAAATCTCAGCCAGAGTCCTGAGTCCTTAGACCCAATCTTAAAGCTTCTATGTAGTCTGAAGACGAACAGTGGAGGTACGGTCACGTGGTTGTTTGGCGTTAGTTTTCTCACACACCTTTCATAGCTCCTGTGAAGCCCCTCCCACTGTGGGATGCATTCAGCATAAACAAACACAGCCACAAACTTCTAACCAATCAGATGATAAATGTGTATATGTGTGTGTGTGTGTGTGGGGGTGGGGGTCTACACCACGGGTTGAGACAAGAAGGGGCGCCATACTCAAAGCTGCGAACAGAAATAAGTAATTTTCCTCATGAAACTGGGACGAGAGACGATTTTAGCAGTTTAGCAGAGCATGCAGAGGCCTGAGTCCCAGTGGGAGTCTGGAGTCTGAGCCAAGTCCAGGTCAGGTCCTGGGGGTCTTGTCAGTTGGAGGAAATGTCAGGGTTGTTGTTGCGGTTGTCATATTTGTGGTGGATAAAGAGCAGGACCACCCCCAGCAGGAAACAGACAGAGCCCACAGTGATGTAGGCGATGCCCAGGAACGGGTTTTTCCCCCCCATCCAGGAGATTGTGCTCAGGATCATCCGCTTCCTGCCGTCAAAACTCTGGACCGGATAATCTGAAGTGGACTCGTTACAGACCAAAACAGACTCGTTACAGACCAAAACAGACTCGTTACAGACCAAAACAGACTCGTTACAGACCAAAACAGACTCGTTACAGACCAAAACAGTGAAAAATGTCTCCCCTTTAGACATGTGAATGCAGAGGTATGGAGTGAACACTGAGTCATGATAAGAATGCTGAGTCATGATGTTGATGCTGAGTCATGATTGAACACTGAGCATGATGTTGATGCTGAGTCATGATGTTAACAATGAGTCATATTAATGTTGAGTCATGATGTTACACTGAGTATCATGCGAACGCTGAGTCATGATGTTAATGCTGAGTCGTGATGTGAACGCTGAGTCATGATGTGAATGCTGAGTCATGATGTGAATGCTGAGTCATGGTGTGAACACTGAGTCATGGTGTGAATGCTGAGTCATCATGTGAACATTGAGTGATGTTAACACAGAGCATGATGTTGATGCTGAGTCGTGATGTGAATGCTGAGTCATGATGTTAATGCTACGATGTAAATGCTGAGTCATGATGTGAACACTTGAATGCTGAGTCATGGTGACAATCCCGAATCATCGTGTGAATTCAGAGTCATCATGTGAATGCTGAGTCATGCATGATGCTGATGCTGAGTCATGATGTGAATGTTTAGTCATAATGTGAATGCTGAGTCATGATGTGAACGCTGAGTCAAGTTAATGCTGAGTCATGATATGAATGCTGAGTCATGTGAACAGTGAGTGATGATCTGAACATAGAGCATGATGTTGACGCTGAGTCGTGATGTTATGCTGAGTCATCATGTTAATGCTGAGTCATGATGTGAATGCTGAGTCATGATGTGAATGCTGGGTCATGATGTTAATGCTATGATGTTAATGTTGAGTCATCATTTGAACATTAAGTGATAATGTTAACACAGAGCATGATGTTGATGCTGAGTCGTAATGTTACGCTGAGTCATGATGTGAATGCTGAGTCATGATGTGAATGCTGAGTCATCATGTGAATGCTGAGTCATGACGTGAATGCTAAGTGATGATGTGAACACTGAGCATGATGTTGATGCTGAGTCATAATGTGAATGCTGAGTCATGATGTTAATGCTGAGTCATGATGTGAATGCTGAGTCATCATGTTAACAGTTAGTGATGTTAACACAGAGCACGATGTTGATGCTGAGTCGTAATGTTACACTGAGNCATGTTAACAGTTAGTGATGTTAACACAGAGCACGATGTTGATGCTGAGTCGTAATGTTACACTGAGTCATGATGTGAATGCTGAGTCATCATGTGAACGCTGAGTCACGATGCGAACACTAAGTGATGATGTGAACACTGAGCATGGTGTTGATGCTGAGTCATGATGTTAATGCTGAGTCATGATGTTAATGCTGAGTCATGATGTGAATGTTGAGTCATGATGTGAACAGTGAGTGATGTGAACACAGAGCACGACGTTGATGCTGAGTTGTGATTTTACGTTGAGTCATGATGTGAATGCTGAGTCATGATACAGGTGTTTAAGGATACTGTAAACCACCTCCAGTGTGTAGTTTCCTCGTGGTAGGGTAGGAACCATGCTGTTCCTCCTCTGGATGATCCGGTAAAGCTTGCGGAACGTTGGCAGGGCGGCGGTTCTCATCCACACGATGAAGTCCTCATTGATGAATCCATCGTTCTCAGGGTCAGAGTCCAGCTCGTACACAGGTCGGCGCCAGTTTATGGGCTTCGTTGTTCCTGAAGATTGAAACCAAAACAGAGCTTTTAAAACATGAATCAGTGATGAATTCTAAAAGGGTCTGGCTCAAATGATTTACCAGAGAGTTTCAAAATAAAGCTCAGTAACTCTTCACAATAATAGTCTGGTTCTGTTAGGCTGTTCTGATCAGTTTGTCAGAGTTCTTATGATTCTGAGGATCAGAAGGTCTGAATGGTCTGGGGGTCAGAGGTCAGAGTACCGTGAAAAGCAGCCGTTAGATTGTCGTTGTTTCCTCCAGGGTTCCTGAACTTCACGTGTTTATCCGTCCACCAAGCGATTCCGGTCCGGGTCAGGGGGATCTGGGTCTTGGTGCCGTTTGGGTCGCTGTAGAACAGCTCCAGTGTGTCTGCAGGAAACATTTCAGCCCGAGTTATATTCCTTCTGATGACGAAGACTCAAAAAGACTTCACAGTCAAATCCACAAAGACGAAGGCTCGGCTCAGCTCACCGTTAAACATGCTGTTGGCGATGGCGCCGCACGGAGCGATGGGCCGGTTGTCATGGCGACCATAAGGCTCACACTCCTTACTGGGTTTCTGCAAGGCATCAGGACCACATCGGGACAGAAACTGAGCACTCAAACAGCATCTGATAAACTCTGCAGATGTGACTTGAAATAATCTAAAACTTCTGGTCAGCTGCAGGAACTCATCGACCCTCAGGACGTCAAACGTCCTCTCGTCTCATCGTCTCACATGAAGACACTCGTACCCTGAGCGAGTCCTCGTTCCCGTTCAGCTGGCTGTCGTCTCTGGACTTGACGTAACGACGGTGGTTCTGGTAGAAGTTGGACAGGCCGTAGTACATGAAGACGTTGCTCTGTGGGGTCAGAGAGACACGGGTCAGTCAGCGGTCCCGCTCGCGTCCAGATCAGTTCGGATACAAGGACTCACTTCGTACGGCAGGTCCAGGTAGAACGGGATGGAACAGGTGCAGGACTTGGTGCTGTTCCAGCTGAAGTTCTGGGAGCAGTTGAAACAGGGACTGGACGGGTCCAGTCCAGTGTAATCGATCTGGAACCACAAGTGGACTCATGAAGTCTCATGAAGCTGATCAGATCTTAACGGACACAGAACCCACCCTACGCCCTGGACCCGGTTCTGTGTCAAACTGGATTAAAGACAGCTCTTACCTCGAACTCCTTGATGTTGTTGGATGTGACGTAAAGGCCGATGCCGATGGGGATGAAGATGAGGCCGATGATGAAGAAGGCAGGCAGGACGGTTCCCGCCGTGAGGACCGGCTGCCAGGCGGGGAGCCTCTGCTGCTTGAAGGCGGTGTTTTCGGGCTTCTTGCTCGGCAGAGAGCCGCCCCCGGCCCCGGTACCGGACACACTGATGTGTCCGTCCTCGTCTTTGTAGCTGGAGGCCATCATGGTCTCTGCTGCCACTTCACGATGGAAGATGATGCTTTTTAATTTAATGTTTAAGATTTTACGTTGTTATTTTAGACATCCGTCAACGGGAGGTTAGGTTTCTAACATTTATTTCCGGGTTTTCTTCTTCTTCTTTGTATTTCCGGGGGTTGACCACACTGTGGAACATTAGCGCCTCCTGCTGCTCCGGAGGAAGACTGCAGTCTGTCCGATTTCAATTTCTGCTCTCAGAAAGTTTTATTCAGTGTTGTATAAAGTACCTCAAAGTGATATTTGAGTGAAAGTACAAGTATCTTATCATAAACGTACTTTGGTAAAAGTTAAAGTCTTCTCTAGAAATATTGCTTGAGTAAAAGTCTTAAAGTATCTGATATTTTTTGTGCATAAGTATCAAAAGTAAATTTCTGACACAAAATCTACTTAAGTATTAAAAGTAAAAGTACTGAGTAAAAGTGAGCAGTTAGATTTTCCAAAAGGACATTTATTGGGAGGTGACTTCTCCAAAAAATATTTTTTTCTAACTGTGTGCAGCTGTGATGGGTTATGTACAAGCTATTATGGTGTCAGAATGGTATATATTTAAACTTTTCATCCAACTACAATTAAATTCACTCTATCCAGGAGACACAATTTATCAGGATAGTATTTTTAAGCAATAACAACTCGGAATAAAATAGGAGTAACAACTTCCTACTTCTTAACTTTTTAAAAAATGTAATGAGTAGAAAGTACAGATAATTGTGTAAAAATGTAATGAGTAAAAGTAAAAAGTATGCTGAAAAATAATTACTCAAGTAAAGCAGAGATAACCAACATTTCTACTTAATTACAGTAACAAAGTATTTGTACTTAGTTACTTTACAACTGGTTTTATTTGAGATTAAACACATTAGTTTCATGGCCTTTGTGGACAGAAAACGTGTGGAGACATCTTTATTAGTGTACAGAAATAATACTGGAGCTTCAAAGTGATGCAATAATGTATCTAAATAATTTTATTATTGTTTGTAACAAAGAACAGCAGATCACTGAGTTCACAGTGCCTCAGTAAGTCAAATAAACGCACATGAATAATAAAATACAAAGTTTCATCAAAAAGCAGTGCAGATCATCCGGATACAAACAAACCGTGCAGAGTTACACTGAACCTGGGGATTTAAACATTAAATATTAAAGTAACTTTAACTCATGGACCTCAGCTCTTCCCTCCACCTGCTGAGGCTGAGCTGCACTCTAAAGACTTTCTCAGCTCAATCTTCATTGCCTGACTTTCAGACCACGATGTCACTGCTGACATGCCCAGAACTGTGGTCCCACCTGCTTTCAGTGTTTTGGACACAGGGATCCGTGTGGAGGCGCGAGCTGATGGAACATCAGAACCAGGCTGAAAGAAACAACATATATTCAAGAGTGACTGGAGAGCCAGAAAAGCATAAACTGTTATTTTTTAAAAGTGAAGATACTTCAGGAGAGAACTCTGACAAAAAAGATAAACACCTGTAACATCTACAACATTGTGACCACTGAGTCATTACCTTTACCCAAACTGTTGAAATGTGTGGTCAAAATGTTGTAATGAGTGGTCAAAATGTTGTAATGAGTGGTCATAATGTTGTAATGTGTGATCATAATGTTGTAATGTGTGGTCATAATGTGGTGGTGTGTAGTCATAATGTTGTAAAGAGTGCTCATAATATTGTGGTATGTGTGGTCCTTGTCCTGAAATGTGTGGTCATAATGATGTAAAGAGTGGTCATAACGTTGTGGTGTGTGTGTGTGTGTGTGTGTGTGTGTGTGTGTGTGTGTGTGTGTGTGTGTGTG